ACCTTTATGGCCAGCCGCCACTGATAATCGGATTTCTTGCGTTTCGAAAAGATTGCTGAACCAGTTAGTAGCAATATCGGAGTGATAAGTCACAAGGGCCGTACACGTTTTCGCGCTTGCGCAGATCGCTTTTTGATTCCTTCGTGGTATATATTCTGAAACTGCATGGAAGGAAAATTATATAATTTGGCCTAGACTATCCTTGTTTCAAAGGAACAGCAATACTGTACACAAACCAGCCATCCTCATCCCATTCCGGTCACCGTGAAATGCAACTTCCAAAGACTGATGGACGATGGCTCTCTTCTCAAGAGTGATTTCGCTCCTTAGTGAGGACCGGAACACTGGACTCTATCGCACTGTGATCATGTTATGAAGAGATTTGCTGGAAGCCTTCCTCATGCATAAAATCTTGTGGATATTTCGATTTTTCAGTCCCATCAGGAAGACCTAGTTGTGTCCATGAAAGACGGTGCCGGACAAGAGATCCTATGCGGTGGCCTCCCACGTCTTCGTATTTCATGCAATAGTCCCCCTCTTGAGTTGTGTTTTATGATCCATAGGCATTTTATTCCTCTTTATTGTCTGTTGGAGGAATGTTGTCAACAGTGCGGACTCGCAACAATCTGTCAGGGTTACCATCTGTGCCTCTTCCTCTTGATCACTTCGTAGGTTAGTGCGGATGAAATTAACTCAATTGATCTTTTGGAAGACGAGAAACTGTTGGCTGCAGCAGATGACACGGGGGCTGTAAACCTCCTGTCCGCCAGTTCTGGCAGTGTTTTGCGTATACTAGAAAAACACGAGAACATCTGTTCTGCCGTCAAATTCCGGCCGAATCATCCGACGCAAATAATTTCTGCCGGACTTGATTGCCAAGTAGTTGTCAGTGATTGGAAAGAGAGTGGACAAACTCTCTCCGTCTTCAGGATGAGTGATCTGACCGACCCCACCGCTTATGCAAAGCTGCTTCAACGGGAAGAGGTCGAATGTGGTTCATCTGACAGCGGTGACGAGCTGACATCCGACGGTGAAGATAACTACCCTGACGCGACCGCCGACAGTCAAGCCTTTTCTGGTGGGGATGAGTCCACCGGGGATGCACCAGTTGCACCTATCAGGGTTCGTCTTTTAAGTTTTTGTTTACCCTACACGGATTACTGTTGTGTTTTTTTTTCAACACTGACTATTTTGGTATGTAAAATAGAGATCCGATATCTCTAGAATATGCTATCAGTCTGATGCATAAGCTCTACGTTTATTTTTACCGCTTTTAGTAAGTTTTAGTTATGACCATAGCCCTTTAAAGTCCATTTCATTTTATTCTAGATAGCCTCATCGCTTAGTCCTTTGGAGAAGCAAGACCTTGTGGCTGCACGTGCCGCTAGCGTGGGATTACCGTTAAATCTACCAATGCCCCATTGTTTGGCCTGCAGTGAGAACGGCGAGCATGTCATCACCGGCCTTGAGAGTGGAACTGTTGAGGTCTTCAACGGAGAATACATGCGTTTGAGCCACGTAGAATCTCTCTGTGGACACAGAAGAGGCGTCGCCGCCGTTCTTTGTTTGCAGGTATTTCTTACCTTTGTTGCCAACCTAGGGATTCATCATTGGTGATTTGATTGGGTTGTGTTTTTTAAAAATTCTTATTACAACTGCATGTGTAAAGGAGCGCTTCAGAAAACTGCTTGCACAGCACATTTCATTACTGTTGTTTTTTTAATTCCATCCAGGAGTCAACGACTGTTGTAATGTTTGGGACCGGATTTTCTCAGAGGGTATTTGATGGACTGGATTTTCTGGATAAGCGAGTCACGGTTATGGTGCACGCACAACACGTATTGAATATCAGTTTGAACCAGTGCCTCACCGCGTACAACCTATAGCGGTAGTTCTCCCTAAGAGAGCCGGATTCGCCTGGTAAAAGCCAACACCTCTGGCCTTATGTACCAATTTTCGCGAGCTGTGTGTTTAGTGGGTTAGCTGTACTTCAATAAGCAGATTGTTTAGACTTATTGTATAAATAATGTCACCGTACATCTTCACGCCCTTGAGTTTGCTAGGAAACGTTAGCACAATTTCCAACCTTGGGACTGTAATCATCCCACCAAAATCACTCGTAAGAGAGACTATGCCTCTGCGAAAGCCTCTATACTCTGCCGCACGCACGAACCGTCCTGATATGGTACGATAGTTAAGCCTCGGAAGATTTTATGAAAGCCTCTCACTCTCAATACTGTATTGTCTTACTGTGCACCCTGTCCGCCGTTTGCGCACAATGCATTCGCTGTGACTACTTCTTTTTATGCCTGTCTCGACCCAAGAGGCTAAACCATAGCGACCCGGAGCCACATAGCAATCCGCGTTTCGGATGTTGGCCGACCGTGTCTGGCTATCATAATTTTGCTGTCATCCCTACTTTCGTCTTTCATCATACCGTACAACAGCGCCCTCCATCTAAGCACCCTTAACCTGAAACAAAACTCCTCTTCAGGAGACCCATGTGATAAGTGGAGGCAACGACTGCCAACTCTTTGTGTGGGAACTTTCGTCTGGTCGTTCTGGGCAGCGATTTTTACATTCCGGAAAGATCTGCGCTCTTGCCGGCAGCAGTCTATCGGCGGTCTACTTGGCGGATTCTTCCCCAAACATCCAGGTGGGCACCTTACTTCCACGAATTTTCTCTTTGCCGTTTCAGATGGTCTCTCAATTCCACGCGGTAGTGTTTGAAGTAGTGACTTTCCTACCACGACTGTTGGCGCCAGGTTAGTTTGGCTTAGTTGATAGTATATATCACCCCAGGGTCACTTGGGCACTCCAAAGGGACTTGCTTTTTGGCTTGGTACCGCAGCGGCCATCTTGTTGTACGAAGTTATCGAAGCGAAAATTCACGTCACACCTGTCGATCAGCCACTCTGCCTCCTGAAGCTTTATGATAGGCAAGAGTGACTTCTGCACTTACTTCTGGCTCTCCAGCCTCAAAACCGCTTCACTAAAGCATTATACAGCGTCAAAGACCGAGTGATCCGGATACTCTAGTCGTATGAGGAGTATAAAAAGTACCCGGACGCGTCAGCGACCTAACGGGTGTCCCTAACTCATACCCTCACCATTAGATTCGAAGTTCGTCTATGGTTCAGTAATCTTAGTCTACAGGCTTCGGTCTTGCTTATCTGTAATCGATAAGCAGGCCCGGTCCAATTTATTACTCGGGTGAGTTAGTTACTCAGCTTCAAATACATCTACACAACCGAAAACTTTGCTACTCTGGCCACTTATGACATACACTTATTCTAGTCCCTGGCTTCCTTTCAGGTTATCGACTTCACACGCACCTAGACTAAGCACCAGAGCTGTTTGCGTCAGTTCGTCCTCTGCCAACCATTGCCGCGCGTAATCCGCCTTCTCGCCCCCTCATCCCTCCCCTCCCCAAACCGCTGTGCTCTCTCTCCGCCATTGTTTTTTTAATAAACCTGACTTCGCAGAACGGACCTCTTATGAAAATCAAGCTTAGGTGCGTTTAACTATGGGCTTGTCAGAAAAGCGGGGAACTGATCGAAGGCGGTGAAATTTAATTGGTTTGGCGCAGGGAAGAAAAAGACCACTCACATTGTCCGTGTGCTGATCAGTGTTGTCTCTCACCGTCCTCGCTAGGACAAGTCCATGGCTGAGAACGAACCGGCAGCTAATTAGTCTCTGCCACTGTAGTTTACCCCTTTATCTGGTCGTTTCGGTAACCGCATGCCACTGATTCCCTAGATGGAGATCAGAGCAGAAAAACTACAGAGCGTCTGGCGGAGACCGCAGATGCTGCTCGACGATCTTGGCCAATCGACTACACAACTGGTAAGGAGCCTCACTCGAGACGGGAGTGACTTGTTAGTTCGGTCTTCAAGGCAATGCAAGAACTAGCCAAGTTCCCCTCACTGCGACTTCTGCCCTGTCAAACATCGCTACCATTGTCAACATTACTCGGGGTGTATCGTAAATCCTGCCTCTTTATTCGGCTACAAGAATTACTGGAGGGGCGGCCTCCATCAGGATAGGGATTCCTGGGGCCATTAAAGAACACAACCGAAGTGTTTGCCCCAAGCCTAACGTCGTAGAACAGGAACCCAAGACAAGATGAGCGGTTGGGAGTGATTCCTCTTATCTCTGGACTCAACTAAAGTTATTTATCAGCCCCCAAAGCTGTTGGACTACCTGATAGACTGGGTTCCCATGTCGGCAGATCATCCTGGCGCCACGGGTCGTTGCCCCTCTACTGGTGACAGTCCAACCGTAAACTTCGACGATGTCCACCGCGTCCTCCGCAGCAGAGTGCGATCAGGGACAGTGACTTGCGCGTAAATCAGTTTATAGTGACAGTGCACTTGCGAAGCTTCCACCGCGCTTTTTACCCCTCCCCCCACCTGCATCCGGTGTCAAGACAGAGTCGGGACCACCGGAGACGAATGGACGCAGATGGCTGGTGCAGCCGGGGCCGCCCCTAGGCGTGCCGTCACACCCGGCTAAGATCCCAGAGTGGGACTGCCATGCAGGCCCCACTGAAGAGCCATAGTTCTTTACCGCAGGCCAGGACTACGCCGCGTTGCTTTGCCTCAAAGGGGCGCGAAAGCTGCCGGAGTGGATCCCAAAACGAGGGCGATCCTTAAAAGCAAATCGCTGATAAACGGTCAGGCTCCTGAACTAGTTCGCGGCTGCTAACCTGTGCAGAACGCTCAACCAAATGGACAAAGGATGGGGCTGGTGAACAGACCAGTCAGATGCGAGCATGATCTTTCGGCTACTTAGCTATCTCTGACTTGGATGTTGAAGTGCCATAGCCGACGATGATCAGATCCGAGAATCAAGTCAGAGACAGAATTAGAAGGTCAGTTCTTAATGTGAGGGAAATAACAAGGAGGCGGTAGTTGCTTAAGAAAGAGGAACTATGCCAAAATTGACACAATCGGACGAAAATACTGGTCTGGGAGCGCCACCCTCGGACGGACACTTTATCAGGCTTTCGGTCGGCTTGAGCTGTGGAGGTCCTGGCTACGGAGATTAGATTTTATGGTCAAACAGGACTTACATCGAGGAACTGAGTGACTCGAGCTGAGAGGAGAGAAAAAGATAAGAAAGGTGAGAGTAGTTTCTGGCAGAAAAAGGTCTGACTTACCTTGGCTATTAGAGCCGAGAGGTTTGATTTCGACGCCTTTCGTCCTTCTTCCATCAGCAGTCTATGAGAGGAAGAATGGCGTGATTAGGCGCCCATGGTAGTCACTGAAAAGGCCAGTTTTCCTGACCGACTTGTATGGAAATTATGCATGACGGGCGGATTCAACCAAACTTAGACGTTAATTTAATGACTGAGAAGGTATCCATAAGTAATTATTTCAAAATGTCGCAGATGACGCGAATGAGGCCGCAACGGAACTAACTACAAGAAGCTGCCTGTTGCAAAAAGGTGGGCGCTTCGGAAAAAAGCACTGATGATGGTCGCTAATAGTTCGAATGTTGTGTGAGAGGACAGTGCGTCGATGTACGACGGACACTAACGCTGGCCCGTTGGAGACCAAATTTCAGATATCGTTGGCGTATGCTTCGGCTGAGTAAGGTCCCCCTCAATAGTTGATAGTTCGTCCTAACTGGAAGCACAATAAGTTTTATCGAAGTTTTCACAATTAGGAATGAAGATACGACAGGAAGGATAGTGTTTTTTGCTATACCGTCGGGCCTGGCGACGATTTCCCATGGAAGTTGAGCCGGCAGCATTTTGCACTTTGTTGTCTAGAGCGAAATGCAGTCGCATGAGCTCTTCCTGCTGCTCTCTCACGGCGTCCAGTTTGTCGTAGGGACAGCTGGCACCTGCGAAAACAAAAACGACATGCGCTATATAATTTGACGGTGTGCAAGATTCGGAAAAGATTAAACACTTACCAAGGCAGTGTTTATGTATGGAAATAGAAAGGAGTCACACTGACAAACCCCTGACTAGTCTGTGATAAGTTGGTCCAAACCAAGTCTTGGGTAGGAACCACGGCACAACGACGACTCGTTTCTATAAACCCCATATTTTCTTGCGAACGGTTAGGCACAAAAACCAGTTGGGCTGCATCCTCATTTTGTGTCGGTCAAAAGTTGCCGGACAGATGCGCTATGAGCGGGATCCTAGAGCAACTCAATACTTGTTTCGGAACCGATTTACTATTTTAAGGGTCCAGTAGATGGTATCATAGGGCGTCGTGATAGTTGGTTGGCGCTCTGTCTAGGCTACAGCGAGTTGGAGGAGTGCGTAGGATAAGACCAGACAGTAGTTCCTCGAATAAGCAGTCATGGTGCAAGTCTGTCTTTGTATACGAGGTTCTCCTCTGCTGACAAGCAGACAAGTCTGGACCTCTTTCTCATCGGATGAGGCCACCTCGGGATAACCATAAACATACAGATAAGTTTTGTCATGCACCAACCGGCGCCCATAGTTAAATACGCCGAATCCGCGGTAAGTGTCGGTGGTGATCGCCTCTTAGCGGGAGACAGATTCACCCGCCCAGGCGGCACCAGCTCACAGACCAACAAAATCGACGACAAAGTTGTGGGCCTAATGTCTAGGGTCAACCAGACCTCATCGGCTGACAGATTGGCCGCCATGGACGGCCAACAACATATGTGGCAGGCCTATGACATGGCGTGTGGGGACCGTTCTTTAGTAAAGCTCCAACAAATTTCCTGTGACAGCATGTGGGAGCTCACTGTATCTACGTAGGCACTGTCCATCCTCGAACCAATCCCATTCTAAGACATTGGTTGGTATGTACCACGAGGCTCTAGCATTCACTGGAGACTGTGGTGGAAATTAACACACCTGCCACGCCACCAACAGCCTCAAATAGTGGAAATGCGACCTACCGAAGGCAGTATCCGATTATCACGTTAAGACGTCTGTATTCCTAGAAGACGTGGTTTCCGATGCTGCGCACGACCACGGCACTGACGTTGACCATCTCTACGCGTTTAGACGGTCATTGTATGCCTTGGGATCCAACTGCGCATGTCAGCCTCGCCAAGTGGCCAAGGTCGTGTTTTGGCCATCGTGCGACGTCCTACCGAGGAAGAACGAAGAGCCATAAAATTCATGTCGGCAGTTCCCAGTAGGACAACTAAGAGCAAAGGAACCAAGCCTTCGGAAACAAACATCTGGCTACAGCTTCAAAAACCATGGTCAGATCGTCAACATACTTCTTGGAGGTGCTGCCAACAGCCATAATTGCAATGCCTGCCGTCCTTGTCCATAGCTCCGTTGCCTCAAAGTCACTAACCCTTGCAGCGAGCGATTCAAGGCGCGTCGAGCTGCAACCACCCGACCGACTTCAGTCCCGACACACGTGCGCCCACACAGTCGCAGCTGCCCATGCACCGCTTAGACAGACCACCCCCAGACAAATGCAACATTGGCCACTAGACACACCACCCCTCGGGCACCCATCGGACAAAACTTTAGCTTGCTCCCCCCAAACCTATAAAAACAGTTGTCACATGCCCTCAGTCAGACACGACCTAACACCGTCAGCACGTACCCTGGGCTTCGCCAGCGGCCATTATCGTCTAAGGGCATTTCAGGATTCTGTATATTTAACAAACCTCTCATTCTGGTGAGTTTTGTCTTCTCCTGGTACTCAGAACTTGACCTGACGACTGTATTGGTCTGAGTACAAACACCGCTTATACGCTATAGAGAACGAAACTGGAGCGTTCGAGTAAGAATTTTGCTTGCCTGACGTTTCGGAATCACACTAGAGCCTATAATTAAGAGCAGTAACGGGCAGGGATAGTGGACGCTATACTCTTTGATAATGGGTTCGAATGAGAGCCCGAAATGTCACGCGAATAACGTCCATGTCCGGGGATTTAGCCTCTTCCTCGACTTCTTTATGAAGACCGTATTTTTATTCGAGTTAGTCAGTCTTCAGTCAAATGGGGTGAGGGCAGTTTTGGATGTTACGTCCTTTTTATGCTTCCAATGGTCCGGCAGTTAAGATCACAGAATTACTCTTGGAAAATAAGCACAATGAAATGTAGAATAGTTTCAAACATGCCAGAAATCTTTCGTCTCCTGAGGTTCCTTCTAAAGGCGCACTTCACATTTGATTGAGCTATGTACGAACAAGTGGGGGTGGCGTCGGTGATTTCCCTTATTTCTGTACATGACAGATGGAGGCTTCCAATAGTTGCACCACTGTCCTTTACGGAGATCCTGGGATGTGTATGAATGATATCGACATTCGACATCAAGTGAGATATGGTGTTAAACTACAGGAGGAATTTCGACACTGTCCTCTCGGGTGTAGGACTTAAGGTGGAGGGGAGAAGAAAAAATCGAACGGCGGTCCTCGATATGTTCCTTTGTCGAAAAGTGTGGTCCAAAGTGTATGTGAAGGCGACAAATACGTCGCAAGTGCTGAACTTCAACAACTACCATCATATTGGCCATAAACGCATTTGGGCAGTAACATGTTATTGGCACATCCAGACGCAATGCAGTAAGCCACAGGACACGGCTGCGGAGTTAAAATACCTTTGAAGGAATCTCGGAGCGAATTTCAACTTCGCAAACCGGTGCAGGCAAAGACGAGACGGTAAACGAAACCTCACTGGAATCAGAGTTCGGCGAACGTCCCAGTGCGTCGAAAACGTATCGGAGGTCGTATACCACCTTCTCATCTCACCCGGAGTTGGGTGGGACAGAGACCGGAGACAAATGCCCGGCGCCATGTGATGAGGCCAAACAATCCACCACGACAGCAAGAAACGTCTGAAACTGTCTACCTGACCTGCTGCAGTTGAGGGCAACGCTACGACGTCGAGAAACACTGCTCCTGAGGGATTATGAGGGAGGACGCCAATTATCACTTCGTAGTTCATTCGGCTATACCCAGTCATACCTTCAAGTTTGAAGAGGGCGAAGTCATCGTGACAGGTAACGACCACGTCTCCGCATGGTCTTCGAATAATGGACTCCTACTCAACAATCAGAAATCAGTACAGTGTGTGTTTCGATTGCGACCCTCTCCCATTCCTGAACCTTTGGATATTCTTCCCAATGAGGTATCTTCTTTCCGGTACCTAGGTGTTACTTTATCCTCAAATCTCTCTTTCTCTCTTCATATGGAAACCCTTTTAACAAAAATTCAAAAACTTGTTTATTATATTCGTCGTCTACGTTCATATCACACACCCCAGTCCTTAATCTGGCGATTCATAGATGGCTGCATTCTTCCACTCATTCTTTATTGTTCTCCAGTTATTTTTCCAGCTTTACTTAAAAAAGATCTAATTATTTTTAAGCGTGTCATTCGAATGCTCGCCTCTGCTGCTGGTGTTTCCTATCATCTTTTAGTTGATATCATCGTGCAGCGACATTTCAACTCGGTGGAGCAATTCGCTGACCGAATTCTGAATGACACCGTCCATCCCCTTCATAATGAGTTAATGGCTGCGAAATCCTTACGCCCCACGCGTCGATGCTTCCGCCACATCCCTTGCCGCACTTCGGCCTACCGGAATTCCATACTGCCATTTCTAGCCCGGTATCTCACCTGCAAAGATGTTGAAAAACAAAAACTAAAACTCAATCTTGCACCTTAAAGTCCTTTTTTCTTCATATATAATCATGTCCACCTGTCTGTCCAAAAACCTGTTAATCTCTATGGTAATCACTGTGTACTGGAGAACCGTTTTTGCTGAAAGTTTTGAAAGTTATTTTCAAAATAAAGCAGTCCTCTCTCTCTCTCTCTCTCAAGTGCGTCGGGAACTGCCTAAGCCGTGACTCCTCGACCAGTTGTAGTTTATCAAAAAAAGCAACAATTTCTCCTCTTTCCCGTTCAGTGTTGAGACTTTGCCCAAGTAAGAGTAACCGGTCACACTGGAAGCACACGAGTGAACACTTCTAGTGACAGTATTGGTAAGATAAGCTGCTGAGTAATTGTCGCCTAAATCACCAACACCGACGGTAAAATCGCGTATCGGATGCCAGTGCCGCACCATACACGAACATCTCGAGTCGATGCAGTATGTAGTTGCGACGCAAACGCATCCTATAGATACTGTACCCGACGCGTTTGCTACTGTTATTTCCCGTTGGTCCTGATGATAGTTTCGAGAGCAAGCTCGGAACGACGGGTGAATAACGTTCTTGTCCCAACAGTAGAGTACTTTTCTTCCTAACTACCTCCTGGAACTCGGCGAAGCACGCAACCACTGCACTTCTAATTACGAGTCATCGCCTACAGCCGAAAGGGCGGTGAGTATTCGCATGCTGAAATCTGCAGCTGTCGTTTACTTCCTTGCAGGAGGTCTAAAAAAACCAATACATTTGACCAAAGTGCATGGTTGATCAATCAGTTCACTACCTTAGTGGAACTTCAATAGCTGAGTTGCACCTGATTAATACTCGGAGAGCTCCATCCACACCTGAGTACTTTTGCTCAAGTCAACGATGGAAACAATCAGGGAAAAAATAAATGGCCTGCCAATAAACTGAGCTGATCGGAAAACACTGTGAGGTTTGGAACAAACTTAGTCTCCAAGCGACTGACTAAAAAGCCCGACATGTACTTTCGTTGCACGTTCAGTACCGACTTCTTACATATACTTCGGAGTCACTCGTGTAACTCCTGGGTACGCTGTACCGGTATGCCTCCTAATATCAGTCAGGGCTTGGAAGTGGCTGTGTGAGCGCGAGAGTTCGGAAAGCAGGGGAAAAGAGGAAAGAGAAAAGAGACGACAGCGATGAGAGCGAGCACGAGAATGGGAATGAACTAAAACTCACCAACGGAAACCAATCTGCCGGACTCAAATTCTTCCAAAAGACGAAGCATTTTTTCCTCCATGTGTCTAACGTCATCAATATTGGCTAAAACGTTAGGAGATGGGCCTCTAAGGGCTTCTTCAGGTGGATATGATGAAGCGAGGTGAGTTAACCTGGCGTGTCCGATTGTCCTTGCATTTTGGCGGAGAATTTAGTGAGCCCCAAACATCAGCGTCTAATTTAAGGGAGAAGAAAGGCGTGTAAACGACAATAAATGAAATCGTCAAAAGAGGGAGAGTTGCGAAATAGTTGACTAGTTACTATTCTTGGAAGTGTCACAATCCACGTCAGAGATACTCAATTTTGGTCAAAAGAGGAAGTTGGCACTGCTTTAGAATTTCTCTCTAGCTTAATGGGGCTAAAAAACAGTACTGGTCTTCTCAATCCTCAAGATTCAGAATGAGTTTAGTGAGAAGATAAGCGAGGAGGGGGTGCTACGAGAAACTAGAGACTATTCAAACCTACGACCGCCCAAAACCTGGAGCGGCAGCACACATTAAAATTGATGATAGTTGAGTAGTCCGGGCAGATGAAGTGTGTGTGAAAGACTTCGTTAGAATACAACAGGAAGCATGCCCGTTCACTATAGAAAAGTAGCGAAGGCCATCGTAGAACAGCTCCAAATTCTACCCCGCGCGAACTGCTATTCTGGTCGTCACACCCGTCTTAAAATGCAAGATAGCACTGACAACTGCGCAATCCGCATAGATGCTTCCAGCTGTTTGAGCAGGCAAGTTTTCGCATAAACATGCAAACTCAGTGACAAATTGTTTCTTAATTCTAGTTGTCCGTAGCTTATATGAATTGCACTTAGGCGCAATTTCGATGTGTTACTTGTATCATAGAAGAGGTACCTTGAGGATGCCCTTTTAAAACCCACCGTCAATTACGCCCCTGAAAACTCTGTCCTATCCGCAAACTATCCTTAACCTGTGTTGAAGTAGAAAGACTCGATAGATCCTGTTGTTGGCTAGCGAATTCTGTCTTTTCTTCGCATATGGGTACGGCTATGACCTAAGCCAAACACTAGCTCGTATTTAACCGACACTGGCAGGAGGAGCAGCGATGAGACACTACAAGCGATGAAACGTTCAAAAAGAGAAAAAAAGGAGTCACAAGTCCAGGCTTATAGATTGAGTTCTTCAGCACGCGCCGGTAGACCATCTTGGTGTTAGAATAGGTTGTGAAGCTCACGTGTACGCTGCTGACAAAACGTTCTGGAGAAGGGCACGGTGCATTCTCCCGGATAGATGCAAAGGCGGGTAGAACTGGCTCAAAGACCAATTCGTCCAAAACAAAGATAAAGACCTCCAATTTTGTACATTAAGTCCCAGGATGGGGAAGAGAGAAGCGCCTGTCACATTGGGTCGAACTTTTTGCTATGCAAGCAGGAGGAAGATGAAATAGACTGTCGGACCAAGCATCCTTCTCATCCATTTTACAGAACTTGGTTTGGCGCATGCATCGACATTTTAACGCGAGTACAATCATTTAAAGCAGCACCCACGAAGAATCACCAGCGTAGTCTTTTGAATCTAAGGGTACAGTAGCAGCTGAAAAACCCTCTTCTCGGAAGCTTTAAGGTACGCTTGTCAGAATAGATTTACGTGCTTTAACGATCGGAAGGTCAGTCAGAGCGGGATTAACAAAAGACGGGATAGCAGCACGATGACTTCGTTAGTAGCACGAGTATATCGAGATTTAGGAACCCCTTGAGCCCAGTGCTGATGCAAATAATTCTTTCGACACTTCCGCTCGCAGAACAGACGATCACCGAAGGTAAGACCAAGTGCAACATATACGTTATCCGTATACCGGCGTGAGGCATCGCTTAGTGACCGCATGGCCGACCTAGTGCGGGCAGTCGAACTAATATGCCAACATTTGGCACAGATCTCGCGGAAGCAGGATCTTGCCCTGGAAAATATCCGACGTCTGCTTGGCGGTCAACGGGACATGGAGTCCGCTGTTACTCGACGGCCGACTACCAGTGCCACTGAGGTTACTCGGATTCCTGTAAATCCAGTAGGCCCCCCTTTGAAAACGGCGTGGATTTTCGCGTACTGAACGCCAGACTTGCGGACAGTGAAGCTCGCAGTCAACTGGAAAAGGCGGACTAAGTTCATTAATACGTTTATTAAGTCTCCTTGCGTGAACAATAGCAGGCCAATTAAGCCGGGATTGGGATGACTAAGGCGAACAGACGATAATAAAATTAGATATGGGCATGTTCTTAAGAACAAGTAACCGCAGCTTGCGCATGGCCTGACGTGTCCCTATCGCCGATTTCGGAGTATCTCGGAAAATAGATAGCTAATAGATATCGTCTCGATATAGGTGGCCGTTCGCACGATGGCTTAACGGAAAGACTTTTCTACGCCCTATTAGTGGATGACATCAGCCTCCACATAAACTTCAGACTTCGAAAAATGAAATAAGGCCTATTCGAGGTCATTAAGGGTAGGTTGTCGGTAATTATTGATCACAGGTCTATCCGCAGGGGTCTTCGAATTCGGGATTTGAAATGGAGACCGTAAGTCGGCCGTTGCCGATCTGGAGTCCTACATGACAAAACGACTTAGGCGGTCACTGGAAACTCTATCGAAGAAAATGGAAAAGACTAATAACACGACTCAAGCGAGCGGTAAGTATCTCCCAATTACCAGTTATACACTACTCTCCAATGTCGTCCAATGCCAGTGATTAATGTAAACAATTTGCGGATTGTCTACGCCGGCTATCAGGCAATTAGTCGAACATTTTCACGCGAGGCGCAATAGCCTCTACAATTCTTCTTGCGTTAAAGTTTTGCAAAATTATACAGGTAAGCGCATTCTTAGGCAACCGGCTGCTATAACAAGGTAAAATATACCCACGTTTTTTGATAGGGTTCGCGAAAGACTGACAGAAGTACGGGTGTCTTCTTTAAACTGAACCTTATTCATTGGATTTTTGCCAGCCTAAGGCGTTGCAAAATCTGGAATTTTCAACGAGAAAGGGCTTTCTGAATTTTCAAAGTTTAAGTCCTCGTTCTGAAAAAAGTTGTTTCTGATACCAAACCGTACCACGTACGCCGTAGTGCCAACACAAGCACTGAAGCTGCGTGTACATGTACGGCGTCTGATGCGATAACAGCATATAACAGCTACGAAGAGCTGATTCTCAGGGTGGGAGAATATCAGAAGGCAACTTGGGATATAGTTACCCGTTTCGGAAATTTTAAGCAGTTCGCCGAAAACTTGCATTTTTCACAACTTTTGCCTCCCAGTGGTCCGTCCGGTTACGTCAGCCGGTAATATGTGGCAGTAATGATGTGTCTGTCATTTGGCCTGCTTACCTGGTGAACTCTTTGGCAAACGGTCAATATTTACGATTGTCATTTGAAAATGACATTAGTGCTAAGCGATTAACTATCGCAGTTCCATATCATATTCCTTTGTTTTTTACCTTGCTGTGCTTTTGATATTCCTTTGTTTTAACTAATCAACACTGTATCTGTTCTCTATTTTTTGGTTTTTGGGTTGTGTGCTATATTAAATTATATCCGCATCTGGTGCTGATGGGCTAGTGCCCCGATCGATCCAAGGATACCCTTGATTGGCAGGCAAGAGAGGTGTATGTCGTGTTGGTCGGCCTCATGCTTACCGATTTTTATCTTCTCTTGCTGCTTCGGAGGGCGTCTTATCTGTATGCATCCTGAGTCGCCGTTTCTTTCGGGGGAGATGACTGAAACTTTATCGGGTGGTCGGTCTAGCGGTCATTCTTGTTCGCCGAGTAGTATCGCCATCAACCTGTCTATGTATGGCCTTCTTAAGTCCCTATTTCCGCAGTGGATCAATTTTCCAAGACAATCACGTCTCGGAGACTGGGCTCCTGCTGTTAAGCACAATGAGGAAAATGCACTTTTAATTTTATTCTTCTGTCTTTTTGACTTAACATTCGTAATGCTTTATTTTAAATAAAGAATAAATAATTTTTATTAAAATCCCATCGGAATCCAATCAAAGCAAGTAAAAATAAATTTAAACACGAATTTTAGACGAGGTAGGCAGAATCTGTACAAACTGCAGTCCATGGTTTCGGAATCTGTAGTCCGTTAAGAAAAATGATAAGCGAGCAGTGAAAAAAAACTCCACTTAAGAATTTAAAAATGGTTGGATTAATTTTACAGGAGACAAAAACCGTCACTCGTAATAACACAAAAATGCGGGCAGGAATGGCCTGCGTGTGGCGGTATATAACTGATAACGATCGGACATCGTCCGGGGCAGAAATAAATGTCATTCTTTAGGGGGTTGGTCTGAATGTGGTATTGTATACAGGACTTAGAACGGACATCGTCAGGCAGAGTTGTTACGCCGGATGACACTATTCGCGTCAAAGAGACCAGACAAGAGGAACCCAGACGCGATCGGTCACAGTCCGCTTCGAGCCTATCCGAGGAGTGGGGAAAGGAGGTACGACCAAACTACAAGTAGACGACAAACTGAGGGTTCCGCCGTGAGCGTCGACAGACCGCCTGAGGTCGAAATGAGGGCATGACATCAAGAACCGTGAAAATCGTCGCTAAGGGGAAAGGTGATATCAGTGGATTTGGAAACCAATTCAAAACAGCCTTTGTAAAGATATAATTGAGGGTTTCCACTTGATCTACCCCTAAATCCCATGAAGACCCTTCTCGAAGTCAAGAAGCTGAATGTTCGGGAATGAGACTGTTAAAAGTGTCTTTTATTTTCTGGTGTAAGCGGTTTGCGTAATTTCGATTTGAATACCGTCAACTTAGGCGATGGCCTAATTTCTGGTGGAAGATTAATCCAAAGGAAGCAATATTTAGGAGCCAAAAAGGGGGAGCGCCTAGATGTACTGAAAAAAGTCAGCGGGATTACCATTGAGGAGTTGCGCGTGGTATAAGACCGATCTCTCGGAGTGAGAGTGTCAATGAGCGGAAGATTGTAGCTAGAGTAAATGCGAAAAATGGAGCAAAGATCAGCTTCAAGTCTTCTAACCCACAAAAACTTAATGTTCGCCAGCTGACATCTGTGGGTATAAGAAATACCGGACGAAGCTTGAGAGAACAGTTTCCGGGTGAAAACCCTCTGAACATGTTCGATCTTATAACGGCCACAGGCGTTCATTCTACTAAAAAAGGACAGCTGTATTCGAGGACTGGAAGAACAAACATTTGATAAAGTCTTAGCTTCATTTCCGGAAAGGAAAAATTTCGCGATGTGAACCCACATAACTGCGCTGCTTTGGCAGAGATTCTATCTGCATGAGGTGATAAAGCAAGTTTATTTGTATAACTTAGACCTAGATCATTTATGGTGAGGCGTCCTGAAAGTGGGTTATTCTGAAAAATTATGGGACCAGGAAGTTTGGCAGGACCAAAAGACATGAAACTACACTTGGATGATGAAAACTCCATCTGCCATGTCGAACCCCATCTGCTTAAGCGTAGTAAATCGGCATTAATTTTTTCAACACAAACGTTTGTGGTGTCCTTAGAATATGAGTAAACACACTTGAGGTCATCGGCATAAATAAAAGTTTGCGAATTTTTGAGTTTAGTGGAAATATCATTGATGTAAAGAAGGAAGCGTAGCGGTGGCAGAACCGTGTCTTGCAGAACGCCACTCGTGATCGAGTGGGGTGTCGAGTAGCTATTACCGACCATAACTGTCTGATATCGGTTGTACAGATAGGACCTAATGGAGTCGAGTAGAGGCGGCCGGATGCCGAGACCTGCCAATTTTACTAAAAGACGTCTATGGGGCACCTTGTCAAAGGCTTTGCTAAGATCGAAGTAAATAACTACCACTGACTGCTGCTCATTCCGATGAGAAGTGATCAGATTAAGAAATGCCAAGTGACATGTTTCGCAGGATCGTTCAGGTAAAAATCCGTGCTGACTAGAGCTCAGAAGCCGATTAGCTAGACAGGAGTCAATAATTTCTTGGAAAATTATCAATTCAAGAAGTTTTGCTAGAAGCGGTGATTTGTGCCTACACCGATAGTTATTAACATCGGACCGTGACCTAGACTTGAATACAGGAATTATAATTGGCGTCTTCCACGTTTCAGGAAAGACTCCTTTTGAAATATAAACGGAGAATAAAGGACTAAGCAATACGGGAATGTCGGATGCTTGTTTAATAATCGAATTTGGAATCCCGTCCGCTCCTGAGTAGTGTGAATATTTCGAACGACTTATGTGTTTCTTGAGGAGATCTAAGGAGACATCGATTATACTCAGCATCCCAACTGAAAGTGAACGGAAGAAAGGGACTGGTTCGGACTCAGTATTAAGGTGTTTTGCAAATAAAACATTAAACAACTCCGCCTTGTCACTGTCATCGGTGAGGAAGATTTTGTTATCGTTTAGCAGGGGTGGAAGTTCGTGATCACGCTTAAAGGAGGACCGGTGACGGAAGATGTTAGCGACGGAGTTTCCAGGGTTTGAATTACTGCCAGCAAGTGATTCTCTTTGCCTATCACGCGCTTGGCGCATCCTTTAGGCCATCTCAAATATCTCTGTACTTCTAAGATGAACTCATAAGGAACTAGAGAATGGGTCACGCAGCTGCCGTCCCAAATTTTTAGTCTGTTGTGAAGAAAATGAGGAACAAGGGAATCTGAAGAATTAGGCTTGAGATATCTACGCGGCACAAAATCTAGAATGTCCTTGGAAACATTGGACATGACATCAGGAAGAATGGTTGCATCTCTACAGGAGAGGAAGCCACACCAATCCAAAGATCTAATATAGTTATTTATTAAGTCGTTATCTACGCAGTCGTAGTTCATGTAAGTCCGAAGGACGCTGGTCTTTTTTGAAAAGGGAAGCGGTAAACAACAATGAATTAATACGTGGTCACTGTCAAAGAGATCCTTTTTAAAGCAACAGAAAGAGGAGCAGTGTCATCGGTAAATATTGGATCTGAAATGTGATTATCTCTTGTTGGAGAACGTACCAATTGGGACCGGTTTGATAAATTCACAATATCTTGGAAGGGCTGGAATCTGGGTGGGCAGCTATTGGAAACCCAGTCAATTTCAGGAAGGTTAAAATCCCCAGTGATTATTTGAACATCGAAAGCAGCTTCCGAAATCAATTTAAAGATTTCACAGAGTTGTGAATCATAACTGGCTAAAGAGTTTGGGGGATTGTAGATACAACCAATAATTGCCTTTTTTGCGATGAAAGAATGACAGATGGAAATCAGAAGTTGCCCGTGAACGAGGAGGCCCCCACGCCTAGTCGTGCGGTCTTGACGGTAAAAATCGAAGTCATCTATGAGAAGGGCTGAGTCGAGAATTGGAGAATGGGTCCAAGATTATGCTACACATAATATCAGGCGTCATTTCGAGAGCAATGGCTCTGAGTTGGGGCGTCTTGTTTATAGCAACCCTGGCACTTAATAATATAGTATCCAATGTGTTTCGAACAGCAAGTGTATTGTCGACGGTATTTAGGAAAAAAACTGAAGGCGGATATGAAAACTGTGAATTAATGATGCTTGAAGAATAAGTACCAGTTAGTCTAGAGTTAATGACTTACAGGGAGTCAGCAAGAGAAGGCTGAGCATGAGACCTAAAGGATGTGGGAAAATAGTTTTCGAGCATTGGAATGCTAGGGGAGTTAGAACATGGATAGGCTTGTTGGTAGTTAAAGTGTGGAGGAGAAGAAGAAGAAGAAGAAGAAGAAGAAGAAGAAGAAGAAGCAGAAGAAGAAGAAGGAAGCCTAGAAGGAAGGTAGGGACTAGTGGGGGAGGATAGGCAGCTACAAGAATAAAAGGGTAGGGAATCAGGTGTAGGTTGAAAGTCAAAGGAGTTAGGTTGACTTACACGAGAGTAGTTGGCCTTCAGTTGTGGAAAGTCTGAACTAAGTTGAGGAATAAATTACTTAAGACAATTCACGTACGAATTATTTACTGGGTATATAGTAGGGCTTTGGTAAGTTGGCGGTACGCAGGACTGATAATTATTTGGCGATATAATTTAAGCTGCGGGGTTTGTAGACGAGCTGGGCTGTGAAGGCTTGGTAGATCAAAGAGAAGACGGCGTACCCCTAAATGGAACCGTACTATCTTTCTTTTGGGTCGGAGTCTGATTCAGAATTGGAGTCTCACCGTTCTGATACCAAGCCACAGGTAACTTAACTGTAGAGCTTGTAGAACCCTGTTGAAATTGCGAAGTTATTGGCCTAGCTGCTGTAGACGGGTTTTCGTGCGTCAGAGGGGGCTATCCGAAGAATTGGAAACGACATCTGGGGCTGCTGCAGCAGCTGCTTCAGAGGCAGGCGAATGCGTCAAGTGGCCTGAGTGAGATTGAGATATGGGAGTAAGGGGAAGGTTGGAGTCAGATGTCGCAGGTATAGGACCAGCTGAATCCTCACGGTCACTTGTTTTATGACCGAGTTGGTGAGAATTAGACTGAGAAGGTGTGGGTTTACGTGAGAAGAGGGACCCGATTCTACGCTCCATGGGAGTAAGATCAGGAGAAAGGAAAAATTTCGCCCTTTTCAGATACGCAGAAACACGATCTCGATGGGCAAAGATTGTGATAACCTCGATTGATGGAAATAATTTGACTAGGACGGGTAAAGTTTTGCTACGGAAGGTCAAGCGTTTTGCATCAGCTATTTTGTAGATGAAGCCACACGAATACAGGAAATTAGTCGCAACACCAAATGGTCGAGCAGATCGAGGAACATTTTTCAAGAAGAAGTTTTAAGCTCGTATTTATCTACCATTGGAAGTCCTTTTCACTACTGCCCGGATTTGTGTTTAGCCTTTCCCTGACCGCGCCTGTGAACTGGCATTAAATACAATTATTTTTGAAAAAGAGAGGGCTCTTCGGAATATAGAGCTGTACTCGTAAATTTTCAAGTCGGCGACACCGACCCGTCGTCAGACGAAGTGAACAGAGGGGAAAGTGAAATGGACAGACAAGGTCCGCTGGCGCGACAGGACAGACAACGACAAGCGGACAGCCGATGCATGAGAAGGGTGGACACTGAGTTATGGTAGGCTGTGGGGCAGGGAAGGGGAGGAAGAACCGATAGGGCTCCCTGTGTTGGACAAGGGCAAAACGCGAGGGGATTGCAGATCAGTGGGAATGCGGGCGGCTGATCACTGATGCGGATGAGGTCAGGGGCAATGCGCCGGCGTTGGAGGTTTTGGGGGTTTCGGTTGTTGTTCACCGTGTCGTAAGGTGGAGCAGAATGGCGAAACAGCATAGGTCTATGTGGCCGAGTGGGGGTTAGCAGTTGTTAGGATGTGGGAACAAGACAGTGAGCGTGTACGGGAGCCCTCGTAGTGAGGGTCTAGATCGACATGGTGGTTTATGCTGGTCGTGCCAGAATGTCAAGCTTCAAGGCATTCTCGCGCCTGTCTAGTGTTAGCCCTTGCAATCACTTCAGTACCGTCCCAACTGAACCGGTGGTCATGCTCAAGGACGTGCGCCAACTCGATGGACAGAGGGTCACGTCGGCGGAGGGCTAACTTGTGTTCGTTAATGCGAGTCCCAAGACATCGGCCTGTACGGCCAATTTAAACAGAAGGGCAGATGGCGCACGGTATGCGGTAGATGACGTAAGTAATTTGTTTTTTGGGTACCGGGTCCTTTACTCGGCATAATAATAATTATTTTTATTTTTATTAAAGATCCGTCGGGGTCCCATCAAAGCAAGTAAAAATAAATTAACATTTGAATTTTAGACGAGGTAGGCAAAATCTGTGCAAAGTGCAATACATAGTTTTTGAATTAAAAGTCCGTTAAGAAAAATGACAAGCGAGTGGTGAAAAAAAAACTTCAAGTGAAAATTTTAACATGATTGGATTAATTTTACAGGAGAAAAAAAACCCTCGAAAAAAGTAGAAACAGAAAAATGCGGGCAGGACTGGCCTGCATGTGGCGGTATAGAATGGATTATAGTCGGACTTCGTCAGGACCGAAATAAATGTCAGCTGTGTATGGCATTGTATAATGGATTTCATTAAGGGGTAAGTAGGCGGGTCGGTCAGGACTGGCCTGTATGTGGCCTTGAATAAGGCAAATAAGTGGCGAAATGAAAAACCAGTCTCTAGGCGACAGGAACCCAGATGCGGTCGATTACATTCATCCGAGTCCATCCGAGGATGGGGCAAGGGAGATGCGACCAGACTACTAGTATATGGCGAATGCAGAAGGCTTCGCCTTGCGTAGGGAAGATGCGGGCTTATGGTCAATAGAGATGCCAAAGCGTTTTAATTGCCGGGAGAGTGTCTCAGAAATTCCCTGAATGTACGGCAGTAAATAGAATTTCTGTAACACGCTATCTCTATTAGACTCGGGACTTGGTAGTTTTCTCTGGCGTCCGAGACTGTTCTTTACAAAACTGGCAGGATATCAGTTGGACCGGAATAACCGATGTAGGTAGGCCAATTCTTTCTTAAGTAAGTCATCACTGTTGCAGATGCGGTAGATCCGATGGAAAAGAGTGCGGACACAGCTTTGTTAATGGGCCGCAGGATGTCTGCTAGCTGCCAGTTTTCAGTTTGTTTAGACAGTTGCTTTTGGCTGTTTGTATCGTCTGTTTTTGCCTCTCAGAAGGCCTATCAAATTGTCTGGACTAGCAGCTGGAAAAGATTAATATACATCAGGAGCACGGAACACCTAGTGGTAAGTCTCAATCAAAGATATCTATTATATTATTATTATTATTATTATTATTATTATTATTATTATTAGATTCACTGCCGATCACTGGACAAGTGAGTCAAGGCGTTTGCATTTTTGTGAGTGAATATCGGAAATGTTCCCGTCGAATAATTTTTCAAGAATGGAGAGCATATTGTCAAACTTTAGTATAAAATCATTGCAGCTGTAAAGTGCAGCAGATTAAACTGCCTGTCAGTTACAACGGGGGACTACTGACTAGTAATGCCTTCTGACTTGGATTGCTTGTGTACAGAGGCCGAGAGCTTTCGCCGACCTGTTACATTTGTCCTCATCTTGCGTCGAGGCAAGTTGTGATTAAGTGAACCTCTGATGCACCAAGTGACTGAATTTCAGCAGTAAGCTAACGGTGTAAAACAAATACACAGTTAGAGAGAAATCAAATGCACAATGTGCGAATTTCAGAATGCAACTGGTGGCTACTACGCACAGACTAACAGAGCCCTAAAAGGAAATGGCAACTGGTAGTTCTGTGTGAACAGACCTGTATTTAAGGAAATTTAACCAAAAACAGGAGATAAGATCGTCCGGTCTCTTAGAAAATTCTCTTAAAGTAATATCTTCCACTTAACTTCAAAGGTCTCTGATAATCCCAGCCACTTGAATAACACCGGAGCATAACCCTTACAAACAATCAAATTTAAGGTAGACAGCATCATTAATAAGCGTAGCATAAACAGAGATATCTCTCCTTTTTTTCCCCTTCTCGTTTCCATCAGCTAACTCACCTGACATTAATTATTTCTCAAGCAGTTAATATTAACATAACTTTTGACATAGCCCTACATATTAATTGTGCATAAGACCATATTAAGACCATTATCAATCTATGTAGAGCTATATTAGATCATATTAAACGGTCGACCAATACTCTTATTATGCCATCTCCAGTAGCAAACTATTTCGACTACATATTTGTTAGGCATCTATTTGTCGAAAAGGGCATATCGACTCAGTATCTGTTTTGTTCCACGCGTAGACATCTATTAGATATCGATTAATCGAGATACTCTGGGACGTAATACTAATAATAATAATTTTTATTAAAGACCCGTCGGGTCCCATCAAATTCTGTTAGGTCTAGACTTTTTCGAATAAAACTGGAGAGAGCATTCCAGATAGTCGCATATCTTATTGTGTAGAAATTCGATCTTTGGGCTGTTTTGGAATTTTGGGATCCCTATAATATCTTCGCTACATCTAGTGTTTCGAGGGCCGTTTTGGTTTTCTAGTTACTTCATTTTGAGAATATCTTGATCATGTGTGACCTTGAATAGGAAATTTGGCCCATTTCGTAGTCTTGTGATCCAGAGGGGTCGACGACCGCATTTATGATATATTCGTAGGTATGAACCTTGGGTGCCATCCCATTTGGACAAAGATCTAGTAAAGCGTCTTTGAATGCGTTCCAGCTGCTTTAGGTCATTTGAGAACATTGTGCCAAATAAAAATGAGCAGTAATCTAAGAGGGGTAAAACGCACATGTTAAAGTCTTATGTTTAGTGCATTTAAGGCGAAATTTTTACATTTGGGAACTTTTCTATATCCAAAGATCGACTAATAATCCTCCCAAACAAAGAAAACATTTTCATAATTTTTACATTCCTGGGCAACTTGCTCAAAATTGCAATCATGTTCACAGAAAAGAACCAACGATATTAAGCGTTACGTGCCGGGGGAAGAAATAAGAAAACCTTACGGTGACTGTTACGCCGTGTGTGGTCAGGATGTTTCAAAGAAGTGGGTGTGTTAAAGGCTTTATTATACAAAAGCTTAAACAGCAAAAATAGTCGCTTTTGTAATTAACGAAACCACAAGTGATCAAGGCCTATAAACCGGCAACGTTCTTGGCAAGACAAATTCCGGCGTTCCGGCTTGTATCCATATGCGACTTTCGAATCATCGGTATACATGAATGGCTCACCATTTTGAAATAAATCTGGCACCTCGTTGACAAAACGGCAAAATAATATCAGGCCAAGTACACATCACTGAATAACTCCACTCCTCACGAATGTGGGTATGGAGACAGCATTAGAAATCTTATCACGTTGTGTGAGAGAGCCCAGGTATGAGGATATCAAATTCAGAAGTCTGTTGCCTGTCCCAAGGCCGAGCTTTTAGGAAATTATGCTGAGCGGCAGATGGAATTTCTGAACAACATGACAGCCACCTCTCTCTTCTTTCCGTCATTTTGGTGGATGTCGGTGGTGAATTGGGAAATGCAGACCAAGTGAGCGATCTTTCTCGGGTTGTATTTGTCCGAATGTGCCCGTATAGCAAATGCAAGTGGCATGTGGTTCGTGAAAATTGTGAAGTCACGACTTTCAAGGAAATGTTAAAAGTGTTCCACAGTCAGGTAAAGGGGAAGAAGTTCACGCCCAAAGGTACTATATCTCGCATTAGCAGGTGACAGTTTCCTAGAAGAGAAAGCCAACGGTTGCGTGGAGTCGGTTATTTGTTGCTGGAGGATTGCTCCTACGGCAACGATTGAAGTGTTAGGCACGAAGGACAGCGGGGCTTCAGGAGCAGGATGTCTGAGCAAGGTAGCGACAGCAAGAGAGACCTTGATTCTCGTCAATGCATTCAGTGCGTCACCAGTAAACTCAGGGGGACCTTTGCGACCAGATATCATGCTGGTGAGTGGCGGCATAAGGTCGGCACAATTCGGTAGGGACCGGCGGCAAAAGTTGACCATGCTGAGAAAACGTTGCAGCCGAAGCTTAGAAGTTGGTTTGGGAAAATCACGAATGGTTTCGACCTTGGAGGGGAGGGTACGCAAGCCTTCTGAATCAACATGATGGCCAAGGAATTCAAGGGGAGGCACGTCAAAAAGCACACTTTGGGGGGTTGATGGCGACGTCCTACTTGCGAGGCGGTCCAACACCAAGGCAAGGTGCTCTTTGTGTTTTTCGGCATTCTGGCTGGACACCAAGAGTTCATCGATGTGGGCGTACACACACAGCAGGTCGTATAAAACATAGTCAATGAACCTCTGGAACATTTGGTCGGCATTACGAAGACCGGAGGATGTGCGGATGAATTCGAAGAGGCCAAAAGGCAGAGTGACGGCAGTTTTGGGGATATCCTCAGGGGCGACTGGAATCTGATGAAAGGCCCGCATCAGGTCAGTCATCGAGAAACCATTTTTGCCAAAAATGGTTCCGGAATGATCCTGAAGATGAGGCAGAGGGTACCGACCGGGAGTGATGACGTTGTTGCGGACACGGTAGTCGCCTGATGTAGCCTCGGGCATCATGTGCAGGGGACGCCCAGGGGCTCTCGGACGGTCAATTAATCCCCGATTGCGGCGTGTGTTCAAGCTCCGTCATCGCCGCCTGAAACCGAGCCGGTGATATTCGTCTAAGCCAAACGAGCACAGGAGGACCTGAGGTGCGAATATGGTGCACAACGTCATGTCGAACCTCGCCACTGTGAAAGTGAGTTAGATTATATTGGGGTGTTCAAGGAACAGTTCCCGAGAGGGGCTAGCAATGGCTTCATAAAAGACAGACAATTTGCAGGAGATAGTGAAGGGACTTAAGCCATGCACAGAGACACCGGTCGTACGGTCTAGGAATCCGGCAAGTCGGCAGTCAACAAACAGATCGAACTCAGCAAGAACGCCTGAGTGAAGGATCGCATGAGGAACATCGCCATTCACAAAGACCGAGGAAAGCCAATGTTTAGGGTGAGGGAGATACTGCCAAAAGTGGAAATGGAGGAGTAGTTGGCAGCTTGGATGTGAAATCCAGAACTGGGGAAACGATGGTGAGCTGCAGTTGGGAGTGCAACGCCAATTTTGGTTCCAGTGTCCACAACGAAGCGCCTGCGAGTCACGCTATCGTAAACGAAGAAGATGCAACCAGAGCCAGAAGAGCCAGAAAAAACGGTCCCGTCTATTCATTGGCTGACTGGTTTCCCTGTTTCAACTTTAAGGAGCGGGGCGAGAAATAGCGACGGACCTTTGCACCGAATTCTGTATGATCCCAACAATACGGCAGTCCGAGGTCACGAGCGAGAACGACGATAGCTTGGTGGATGACTGGAAGTAAGGCGTGTAAGCTGTATTCTAAGGGATGCCATCTCATCCGCTATAGCCGACATCTGCTTCACTGATGGTTCCTTCATTGTCGACGAGAATGTGGAGCTCTGGACAACGGAGGGCGGTTGGAACCGCTGCGCCTCTATCATTCGATCCGCCATATCAGCCAGCTGTCGAACCGTGAGATCTTGGGAAACGGAGGCCAAAATCGTTCGAGCATGTGCAAGTAAACGCTCTAGAAAAATCCCCTTGACAAATTTCTCGTCAACCTGCATGTCTTCAAGGAGAGAACACATTTGACGTAGAAGTTCTGAGGGCTTCGGATCACCCAATACTTTCTCCTTAGTCGAATGGTGATATCGTTGTCGGTCAGCCGCAGCATTAAGTCGAAGGATTTTTGCCTTTAACGTAGAATATGTAGCACCTGCAGGGGGATTAGATAGTAAGGATTGAACTGGGGAGATAACCCTAGCGGGGAGAACCTCAGCAAGTTTGTGGTATCTCGTCAGCTCCCTGGCAAAGTGAGCAGAAAAAAGATTGATTCGACGCAGATGAAATAAAGTTCTGGAGCATGTCATCGGGCTTCAGGCAAGGTAAAATTGACGACCTGAAGGAAATGGGCGAGGATATGAAGTTTTTGGTTGAAGTAAGACATAATAAGCAACATAGAGATGGAACACTATTGATCAAATGCGCGATAAAAGTAGGCGTAAATGGAATAAAAATTCACTAAAAACTAGTACACTAGTTTGACCGAGAAAAGCATAAAGTCTGCGTTAACGGCGGGACTCGTCAATAACGTGGATGATAATGCTCTCACGGACTAACGAATGATATGTAACGAGCCCTAAGTGTTAAGAACAGTAAGCGAAACCGGCTAATGAATGATATTTATATTCGGAACGTAAAACAATCTGACAGCAGAGGACGCCACCGAAGCGGGCGTTGACAGCCGTGTTGTTTCGTCACGTTAAAACAAGCAATTCGGAAAAAGGGAAAACGGGATTAGGTTTTCAAAGGTGGTTTAATCTGGAACTTCGCCACAAGGTCTGTGGCCTCTCAATTACAAATAAGACACGGACAAAAACAGTACGGCTCGAGGTATCAGACAAGTGGAACGGCCAAATCGGACTGTAATCGACTTACCAAAGCCCTTCATGGAAAGCCACCACCAAAACTGGGATACTCATTTACTGTATGCGCTCAGATCGTACCGCACCACCGTGCACACATCGAAGGGATACGCCCCACTCATTTTTATGGCAGGGCGACTTATACTTCCTCATACCGTCTGCAGACTCCTTAGCTCTATCTGCCTATCATACATGTATTCGAATTAAAGGTTTTGGTGCAACCTACACATAATGTAACACGTACACTTTTGCACGAGGCGTAAGACGGAAAAGAAGATTACTTTGACCGCCACAGGCATGGACTGCAATGACTCAGGGCTAAGATATCGAGTGGTTCCTCCTGTTGACATACTAGTCAAACTTTTCTACCATGGGCAGGACTCTACATCGGAGCGGACATCAGGTCCTAGAGCACCGATATTGCCCATGGTGTCGTGATACCCGAAGGGTTCACCCCTTCCTGGCAACATATACCTTTTATCCCACACCTCGATCCTAAATCCGCAAATGAAGTCGAGATCCCTGACGGACGTAACCCCGTGTATACAGGCCCCGAGAACCAAATCCCGTCCGAGTGAATGTCAAACGCAGTAAGCGGACAGATAATAAAAAGGAACGATGAGTGTGGTTTGGCAAGAAAACGGACCTCAATAATAATTTGATGAGGGGTTCCCTAACGAAGTTATTCAATGACGATCTCGCAACGGAAGGACGATGAGATTTGAATATCACTACCTCATCGGAGGTCACCGGCTCCAATCATTTAAGAGCTAAGAGACCTCGGTGTGTTGATAGCGCCCACCCTTGATCTATCGTCTCATCGTGCCAAGATAGCAAAGAAGTCCATGGGTATCCAAAGCGCGCTCTGGGTATCCTTCGCCAGTTTTGACGAAGAACTTTTCGGTTGAGTGTTTGGAACCTGTATTCGACTAGTATTAGAGTATTACGTTCAGGCTAGATCTCTCTGGATGAAACAAGATTATGCCCATTCTAAGGAGTCACAACAAATGGCGACCAAACTGATCGACGGATTAAGTTGTTCACCTTAAGATAGACTGTTGGAAAAACTAAGAGTATGGACATGACCTTTCGAACCGTCAGAGGGCTTGACTTTGTCTTTCAACTCGCCGACTTTTTTGAACTGGTACCAAGGACCACTTGTAGAGGTCACCAGCACAAATAGGGTGCAAAATATGTCAAATATGAAATACGCGTTCAATCCTTCTCTCATGGGATATTTGGACGATTGGACAGACCGTCGAATACGGTTGTCTTGCCGGGAAAGTTTGAGGACTTCATAAGGAAATTTCAGAAATATATGCCGGCCGATCTTATATTCACTGAATGTAGTGGCGGACTCAACTGTTACATGAATGTGCATGTTCTTCATCCGTATGCCTTTTAATAAGGGTCTCCAAGGCTCTGCCTACCTCCCCTATATATACTGAAATTATGCTGAGTGGTCGGCCTCTTATTGCAGGTACAGGACGGATTTACTCCCTCTCAGGCGAGAGCTTCCAACTCCACCTTCCCCAGTTTGCAGCCGCAAACATACTTGAAACCTCTGTGATGATCCGAATATTGAACATGGAATACATCACCCTGTGCAGCCCAAGGAACTGCTCAACGATTTATTATCACTTATATTAAATCATTTTACTGCTCAGCGTTCGCTACGATTTTCGAAGGCTACAGCCTGTCTGCTCCTTGAAAGAGGAGAAAATACATCAGAAGACAATGTGTTGAATAAAATATTAGCTGCAGGAAAGACGATATACCACAGGCGAGGCAACCTTACTACTCAAAATTCCAAGGAGACTTCCTGTTACCCACTCTTCAAATAAAATATTCAAGAGAAACGAACTGTTTCTCGAAGGAACACGTGAGAGCAAGCCAGCTTTATCCTGAGAATGAGGCGAAATTCAAGAAGCAGACCAGGATGTAAGTGCGAAGCGTCATTATAGGTTGCGGTAAACATCAGGTGAGACCGACAATGGAGGTGATCAAACGCCATTTCAGTGGCCAAGATGGGATCTCGATAATTTTGGGTGGCAAGTAAAATTAGGACGTTTTGAAACATGTTCGTCATGGAGCTCTCGGTAGTTCGTGAGAAAGGTTGGCTAGAGAGCACGTTGTGGTCTGTGAAGGTTACGACGTCTAGACTGAGAAAATCGAAATTCTCGATGAGTGATCTTCACGAGCAAAACCACACGCGAAGAGTGAAATGCAATCGGACGAAGTATCTCGGAGATGGTCACCTAACGCCAAAGCCTGACTATGCTCTGTTTTCGTTTGCTATCGTCCGTTATCGCTTGGCTTGGCCGTCTGTCTGTTACGCTTTCTCGCCACTACCTGATTGTTTCGATCATATGGTCAACAGTTATGCTTTCAACCGTTAACTGTTTTGCCTTTTCAGTACTTTGCGCTGTTTTCCTCCTCATGTTCTTGACATAAGTAGTCAGATTTGATTCGCTTGCCGTCCCAACTCTAAGCCACCACTATCTCCACCTCTGTTTAGCGCTGCAGTGCGTGGACTGGATTTAATATTCTCACGGATTTTACCAAGAAGGCATCGTGTTATTGGGAAATTTGTGATCACGAATGCGGAGGCCGTAATAAGTACTACCCTCGATACCTGCTTCATTTCCCATTAGTGTTCAGCCAGACCAGAAACGCAACGGCTGTGTTCCGAGCGCTCGACTTAATTTGGCTTGGATGTTGGTGCCGTTGCGGACTTGTGGGTTTGTACGGACGTTTAATAATGACTCCCAAGGTCGAAAATCGAGGAATGGACGCTGCTAGAGCTACAGGGAGAAATCTCTCATAACAACGCAAGCTCTGTAGCAGGAGAGGTCGTAGGCGACTTACATTTTACTCGTCAGGTGGGTACTCCGTCGGAATTTGATGTCCGTTAGAACGAACCTATCCTGATTATCGGTCACAATCTTCTGTGTGGAAAAGTTTCAAAACTGGCGAGGCCGTTTGCTGTCCTTCAGAGGACCCGATCCGGCAGTTCTACCAACCTCTCTGTGAAGGCCGTTATTAGGACAAAGATCCTTTTTAAGACCCGACCGAAACCAATTATTTGGATGAAGAACTGACGTACTTACACTCCTTACTGTTTTGTACTATTGTTTTAAGGAAATGGATTTTATTAATCAGTAATATGGACTGCAACTTTCAACAAGGTCCTCTTCTTAGGAAAGAAGAGCACTTGTCCTCCCTACTCACCTTTAAGTAAAATTAGGCTGTTTTGGAGATGCTTATATCGGGTAAAACTAGGGGTGGAAGGGCGGGACAAACGGTCGTGCGAAGTAGCGACCTGATCGTCTGAAGTTACGATGACTTACTCGAGTTAACCTCTAGTAGCGTGCACGCGTTCAGCAGCTAGTAACATACTCGGCCAGCTAGCGACTGGTTTTGCTGCTTTGCGTTAATGCTTCAGACAGATGAACTGTACGCGACACCACATTTTCTTCGCGCCAATGGTTTCATGTGGTCGAGTGCTAGATCCACCCCTGTCACAATTTCTGATTACTCATTTTTATTTCGTAAACAGCGTGGTTTTACGACGTCGCTTGCACGTAGGGAGTGCGTTCTGCTGGAAACAAGTGGAACTAGCAGATTAGCTCCTCGCAACTAAGCGATATCCGGCCAGTGACGACAGCACTGGCAGAATGCGGGAAGTCGAAGGTCAGGAACACTGACCGACCTATAATACGTCAAGAGTCCGATGAAAGCGCTAGTATGTGGTGAACTTGGACCGCATCAAATAAGCTCTGGTCGATATGCTGTTGCAGTCTGACCTCTGGTGCTCAGGGAGGTAGGATGGCCTGAGTGACCGAACGCGATGCATCCGCGAGACAAGCCCTTCACAGCCACACCTTGAGAAGCGGTCGTGCCCATGCCTCGAAGTCTGTAAAGTTCAATATGCTGGACTGCTTGATTATCACAAATATCCGTTCTCGTATTCCCGAAAACCAGATAGACAGATGTTAGCCGTCTTCGAGGCGTCTTCTCAGGAGCAGTGTAGCCAGACCACCCATACAGAGAGTAGTTTAGCGCACTGCGTCGCCGCGGTCCGACTGGCTGGTAGGGCAAAGTCTACTCACCTGCGATTCAAAATTTTGAGACGTTTTGTGAAGCCACGAGCTCTGAATGGCAGGACTGCGACGATTTCTGGGACAAGACTGCACGGCACATCGAGGGCGCTTTGGCTAGAGTGAGTTGTGACCCATTTCAAGACAGATTGGCACTGCACTTTATCTGCTTTGACGATTAGAAAAGAAAACTATCTGTTGCTGCCTTTTACGATGGGTACAAATATGAATCTGAGGCGTCAGCCGAATAGCGTTCTTGTCCCAGCCATTGAGTTTTCCTCCTCATAGCAGCTAAGGTTTGTTGATAGTGTCACAGTTCGCACGTCACCGCTGGATAATTCTGCCTAGCAGGTTTGGGTCCGTTGATCGCCGTTTACTTAGGAGAGACTTCTGCGCCTAGGCAGAACTATGAATTCAGTCTGAAGTCCTTGGAATTAATGCCAAACTGGAAAAGAACAATACACCTGGCGAAGGCAGCCTACCAGCGAAAATCTGTCGTGCCTGTGTAATACTTGGCTGGATGGTTACATGGTCCTCTTATTCAGCACTTGGCAGCATAAGCCGTATGCGTAGGCCGTAACGACGCTGTCATTACGCATATGTTCAACATGGTCAACCGATCAGTGTATGGGGGGTTACCATTGCTATAATCATCCCGGGTATTATCGCCACAGTATTTACAATTGTTTGCCTGGGTATCACGGCGTGCGGCCATTAATTATTGTGGCTTCCAGATAGGCCCGGATGCGTTTTCTAGCTTCACCAAGTGCCCACCTACCGTGGCGATCCACTTCTGTCCCCCAAATGCGTTTGCGTTGTGTTGTATGTCGGGATTGTATGCAGTCAATCATGCTTCATGATGACACGTCATGTGAGCTGAAAGGATCGATTCAAGCTTGCTATCAGAGTAAAAAGACTGGTGATAGTGCGAATGCCAAAGAATGACTTCTGCCGTGATCTTCGGCGTCCGCGAAGACTGCGATCTCGCAGCAGCTGCTCAACTGCACCATAGAATGAGTCCGTCACAGCACACTGGACATCGGGCATTCTGTGGGCCGGACTTCAGCCCTTCCTACACCCACCACTTCCACTGCTCGTACGCAACTGCTTATAGTAAAAATTAAGCCTGCTCTTTGGAGCCTGCCTTTGCTGAAGACAACCTCACTGGCTGCCGCCCGTGGACACACCTAATAGGCGGCAACTACGCTGGCTGGCGATATGTCATAGCCACGATAGGTGAGAAGTGCTTCTGACAATTAATTCCCCAAGGCAAAAACGGTTGCGCTAAGTTTCACAGTTACGCACATATTTTTGATCTACTACGCAAACGGTAAAGTCCTCCGGCTATTGAATTGCCGTCACTTTAAGAACTTTACGGGATTATTGGGGTGAAGATGAAATCCAAGCGTAACGACTGGGAGCTACAGGACTTGGTCCTTGGTTTTCACCTTAGAGAAGATTGTCCAATCTCGGGTGGAGGTACTAACCTGTGAAAAAGCTCCTTAGAACGTGCAGACGTAGTCGGATGCGAGTGATACACAGATAAAAACAAACAGTTTCCGTGAACTACCCACAGGACACAACCCAAGTCCCGAAGAGTCCTGATTAGTGTGTAGATCTGGTACTTAGCTTAATCCACGACCCCCAGCTTTCGCCGAAAAAACGAGGCAATCCAGTAAACAGACTGCTGCCATGTCCGAACGGAAGAGGTAGGCGCCGATGACAGTAGGCTAACCAGACAGTTTTGCCCTTTTTATGCGTGACCAAACAAACAAAAATAGAAAACTTCCAATCCCTATGCAAACAGGCGGCTCAATTTCACCCTTATAACGAATGCGAAGGAGCCGGGGAGGTTTTACAGACTTGCAGCATATTGTTAACTCGGGATTTTTATTCTGGTAGCCGATAGCGTCAATCTGTTTTCAAAACCTTGGGTATGGGGGGGTCTTTTTGTTCGGGATTCCTCACAAACTTATTTCCACATGGCCACAGCCCCACGCGTACGCAGTTCAATTTTAAACGTAACCACTAAGCTGTTTTGCAAAAAAGTTATTTCGTGTTCATAAATATGTGAGGCTGCCCACCTGGTTCTCTGTAGTTTGATATTCAGGTAATCCGAAAGCATTGTAGGTCTAGACGTTACTGTTGTCTTCAAGTGGGCAAGCAATTAGTACCGCGTACTGAAAATGTTAAAGACAATGTTAAAAAATTTCATTCATGGAAGACGGGTTGTTATATTATAGTTTTGGATAATTGATAATCAGACCAGTGCATCCAGCTAAGTAGGCAACCTATAGGGGGTCCCAATAAGTCTGCGGTTTTCTCAGTTACAGTAATTCGGCCAAATTACCCAGTTGTGGCAATTGTTCCATATTATTCGTAAACACCTTTTCCTTCTCTGTAAGACCACTTTCCTATAACCTTTAACAGTCTATATTTTTAGGCTTAAATAATGAAATGACAAGTTGAGAAGTACGTGTATCTTCTACACCTGCTTCTTTTGGTCCTTAATCAGGGCTTCAAAGTTGCCCGTGACAGTTATGCTGTGTGTGGAGAGACAAACCATGGTCCTCGCGAGCTACTGTAAGATACCAGTTCTTTGGCACCGCGTCCCCTGCCAGCAAATGAGCTTGCGCTCCCGCTGAGTATACAGGTCGTGTGCATGGCTGGCCAGTCATCCTCGTCGTCTTTCTGACCCGTTGCGGTGCTGTTGTTGTTTCACGTTTCACTATTATTGCCGATTTGCCTGCGTTGCGAAAGGGCATCTGTGGGCACAACCAGAGATTTCCTTATCGCACGTTCACTGGTGCCTATACTCTAACGTAAAGCAAAGAGAGGAATGGGCGAAGCACGATGAGTAAGTGGAGAGGTGGCACTGAAAATGCCTATCTTAACTCGACACCTCATTATCTACGCTAAGAAATATTAAACACTGTAGGAAAACGGTTACAGTGACTTCGTAGACTAGAAAATATCCATTTGATTGCTTTTTAACATTTACTATAATAAAGCAAACTGGCGGTAAAATCGCACCTGAGAAAATCCTTGAGGACTTGTTGTACTGCTCAGTATCTGAGTGCACGATTCGTTCATGCTGATTTAATGTTCATAGGTCAAAGGACAGTGGGTAAGATATTAACAGGGTCAGCGGTAGCAATGGTCGAGAACCATACAATACATGTCACGATGAGTAAATTACACGGGCGTCAAGTAGGTATCCGTTGTGTACAGGTACAGACCGGGGGTGGGGTAGTAGTGAGTGCTGTGTAAGTCCGCCTGACTGTGTCTGCTGATACCTGGCTCTGCAAAACAGAGATAAAGTTTTCCATCTACCGTGCTTTGCGAGGAGACCAGTTGCTGTCCAGGTGGATTTGTCGACTTTCCATTGAATAACCGGGAGAGATTTTGGTTGGGCCCGGGATAAGTACCCCCTGATTTACAGTGAGTGACCTATCTCATGAAATGTTGGCTGAAATTCTGAAATGCGTTTTCGATTAGGAAGGATTACTTTGTCGCGGTTGTGATAATGATTATCCTAAGGCATACTCTTATAACATTTTGGACTCGGCAGGATGTCGGCTTTTAAATGAACTTCTTTTCAATCTCCTGTAGAAAGCGTGCTCTGTAAAAAATGACTACTTAAGTAGCATGCATTTTTCCTATTGATTTTCGATGGTCTTGGAAATTCAAATATATTTTATAGAAACCACAAACAAAAATATGCTTTCTTTTAGTCAATCAATAGAGAATCACGTCTTCTTTATATTTTATACTTAAGGAAGGAGTATAATTAGGTTTTAAAAAAGTTTCTAATTATGAGACTTTTTAAGACCGCGATATGTCCATTTACATAGCATCGTACCTGGCCGTTTACTACTGCTCCTCATGAAATGTACAACATGGTCCGCATCCATTGCAAAATTTTATGGACCCTGTATGATATCTCTTTAATGACATAGAAAAATATGGGATTTTCTTTATGCGGAACGCATGCTCCTTGT